GATCCTGTGAAATTGAGGTTCTACTGTAGTCCTCAAAGTCACAAGAATAGGCTTGGGACCTAAAGATCTGCTTGATCCTCTGGACCAACACTTGTGGAGCTGTTGAACCACAGCTGTCAACACCCTTTTCCCCTGGCAACATCTGAAAGATCTCAGGATCTGCATCCTTGCAACAGAGAGTTACTTTGGAGGGTTGGGAACCGTAAAGCCTACAAACTTGAAATTTGGCACCTAGAAGCCAAACTAGGTGCTCGCTAAGAAAATATTTTTCAAAATGACCATCATTAGTATTTCTTATACAGTAATTAACATGCTCTGATGCTAAGGAGTTCTACTCCCCCTCCCCATCTGAAAAGAACTCTGTTCCAACTGCCAGTGCCAACTCAGTGAAGCGGTAGAAGTGAGGTGCCAGTGCCTAGAGGCTGTCAGGGTCTGGATGGAAATGAACAAGCTTGCACTCAATCCCGACAAGACTGAGTGGCTATTGATGCTCCCTCCCAAAGATTGGCTAACTATTCCATCTCTCAGTCTGGGGGGTGAAATTATACGCCCCGCAGAGAGGGTTCGCAATTTGGGAGTCCTCCTTGATCCACAGCTGACTTTAGAACATCATTTGTCGGCTGTGACCAGGAGGTCCTTTGCCCAGGTTCGCCTGGTGCACCAATTGTGACCCTACCTGGACCAGGAGGCCCTTCAGATAGTCACTCACACCCTCGTGACCTCAAGACTGGATTACTGTAACACGCTCTACATGGGGCTGCCCTTGAAGAGTATTCAAAGACTTCAGTTAGTCCAGAACGCAGCCGCGCGAGCGATTGTGGGTGCACCTAGGTACACCCATGTTACACCTATCCTCCACAAGCTGCACAGGCTACCCATTGGGCTCCGGACACGCTTCAAGGTGCTAGTCGTTACTTATAAAGCCCTTCATGGCATTGGACCTGGGTACCTAAGAGACCGCCTCCTGCCAATTACCTCCCAAAGACCTATTCAATTGCACGGACTTGGCCTTCTCCGGATTCCGTCTGCCAGCCAATGCCGGCTGGTGACCCCCCAGGGGAGAGTCTTCTCTGTTGCAGCTCCGGCCCTCTGGAACGTGCTCTATGTGGAAATCCGGACCCTTACTACCCTCCCAGCCTTCTGTACAGCCACTAAGTTGTTGCTGCTCTGGCAGGCTGGGGGCTGTTGAAGTATCCAGCCCCACTATAGCTATGAATGTTGTTGTATTTTAAATTGTTGTATTGTCTTATTTATCCCTTCCCCTTTTTATTCAAATTTTCAAATTTCCCCTTTTTATTGTAAGCCGCCCGGAATCCTTCGGGAGTGGGCGGCATACAAAACTAATAAAACCAAACCAAACCAAACTAATGGGTTGCTATCATGTAAAATGTCCCTACAAGGGATTTGAAAGGGTTTTACAATTGTTTGTGATAGAAACACAAGCCCCAGCTGTTCTAGGTCTCAAAACAAGTAAATAGATTGGACTTGTGAAGATCATAATGACTGTGGATGGTGGGCATAGAGGTCTGACGGAAGCTGATATTAAACGTAAATACTGTGATCTATTCAAGGGCCTGGGGTGCCTCCCAGGCATAAGCCACATATGTATAAAGGTGCACAGCCTGTCATCCATGCCCCAAAGTGAAATAGCTCTAATTCTTGGGGATAAAGTTAGACAGGAACTCACTAGGATGGAGAAGTTGGGAGTAGTAAAGAAGGTCACTGAACCATCAGAATGGGTCAGTTCTATGGTTGTGGTGGAGAAGAAGAACACAGGTGCAATTTGCATATGCATTGACCCACGGGATTTGAACAAAGTAATAATGAGAGAACACTACAAACTCTCCACCATGGAGGACATAGCACACAGGTTAGCGACAGTGTTCAGTGTATTAGATGCCCAGTCTGGTTACTGACAATTGCGTCTTGATAAAGTCAGCAGTTACCTCACTACTTTCAACTCCCTTGCGAGTCCATGGCACTTCACAAGGGTACCTTTCAGCATCGCGTCTGCACAGGAAATATTTCAAAAGAAATCACACGAACTGATTGCTGGTCTACAGGGTGTTGAAGTAATAGTTGATGATTTGTTGGTCTATGGAAAGGATCAAGTAGGGCATGACAGAAACCTTATTGCTTTGCTCAATCAATGTCGTGAGAGAAATCTTAAACTCAATCCAAATAAAATGCAAATTGGGGTAG